TTCTTTCTCTCTCTCTCTCTCTCTCTCTCTCTCTCTCTCTCTCTCTGTCTCTTTCTTCCTTTTCTTTCTTTCCTTCCTTCTTTCCTTCCTTCCTTCCTTCCTTCCTTCCTTCCTTCCTTCCTTCCTTCCAGGTCCTCGTGTTGGAAGCTCATTATTCAAATAGCCAGCCCTCCTCATTATTAAGCATCAGTGTAGTTGCTTTGCCTTTTTATATATCAATATTTGTCTTTGCTTCTCTTGGACACAGAGGTAGCGGGTGTGCTGTGGTATTCTTATGAGCCAGCCAGACCAGCAGTGCTTGCTATAATGTGTATTTTATGCATTCCACCAAGGACTGCCATACTAAATGAGCTGCTTCACTTTCCAGAGTGGCAAGAAATATATCAGTCCATGTGGAGGAAGAGATTGCTCTGTTTGCCAGTGCTTTCCTGAAAAGGGGTCCCGGGTAAGTGATACGAAAATCAGTATCAACAGAGACAGCATAGCTAAATTTTGAATCACTGTGAGTATTATTGTCATTAGATCCTTAGCATATTTTGGTAGTCACTAATGTTTATGTCTCTAACAATCAAAGTTCTTGACAGTCTAATAAGCAATCAGAATTACATTGCACTGTGTGTGCAGCTCAGATCATCTGGGCAGCAGCGTCTTACCTCATGTTTTATATAACCAAGTCTTGGGAATTGCCCTAGAAGAAAGGATTCTAATGCTACATGCTGGATACCAGATCACCTCCTTCATATTTGGATCGAATATGAGCATCTTAAAGGCTCTAAGAAGTGCGGCAATAAGTGTGTGCATGTGTGTGTGTAGCTTTAATTTTATTTAACCACACGACTTTTTTTTTTAACTTTAGATAAATGAATCTTTTATCTACAGCTACATGTCAATTTAAAAATTTAAAAACTACTCCCACAATATTACCACATGACAGTGTTTCAGAAGCTTTGGACCATTTTTGAGTCAGATCAATGATTTTTTTTTTTAAAGAGAATTATGCCTATCTTCCTTGTTTTGCCAGTCAGGCGGGTTGAACAGTTTGGTCTTTGGTGATCAGTCAGAGAGTACAAGTCTCATATCCTCATCTGACTCCTCTGATTCTTCCTTGGTTTCAACCTTGGCTGGGGCAGCAGTCACAAATGCCGGTGGATCAGGGAAGAAGGCCTTGACCTTTCCAGCAAGTGGGAAGGGGTAATCAGTCTCTACAGATGAAGCCAGGACCCATTTGTACCCATTGGTGATAGAATGGGGCACTGATTCCACAGCTGGGTACCCAGTCTGCAGACAAACACCGGCAGCATTGCCGACACCTTCCGGAAAGCGAGAATGCAGTTTCCTTTGTGACGTCAAGCATGTCGAGGTTTTAGATGCTGCCGCTGTCAAAGGCTTGCTGGATGGTCAGCCCACAGGGGAATGGGGAGATGTTCAACATGTTTGGGGGTGATGGGGCCGGGGGGAACTCGCAGCTCCCGCTGTGTCGCATCTTCACCAGCTGTTCGTCACTCAGGATTTCAATGGTGCCCCTGAAGATTTTAGTAGTAATGCCCAGAGCCTGGAAGAAGGGGGACTGCCCAGGCCCCAGAGCAGTGTTCTGGGCTGGCACAGTGACTTCACATGGTGCAGTGGCACCAGCACGGGCAGCAGCTGGCACCTTGTTGGCCAGCAGCATATCCCTGATCTCAGTGAGGTCCTCCTTGGTGAACACAAAGCCCACATTCCCCTGAACACAAGGCAACGGTTTCTCCAGAGCTGGGTTGCAGATGCCCTCGATGGCCTTGTGCATCATGGTGTTCTTGCATCAGCACCACCACCTTCCCGCAGAGGGACACGTGGATCTGCTGCATCTGCTTGGAGCCCACACTGTCTGCTTCCTCAAGAAAGCATTCTAGATAATCACCCAAAAGTTTGATGATCTTAAGGAAGTAGGTGGATTGCAAGGTCACCCCATCTTCCCTCGGCATCACGGCAGTGCATCAGGGATTGCCACACAAGGTTTAAAGACAGTATCACTCTCACAAGGATGCCTGGAAAGAGAAGTCAGTAATTCTTTTGAAGCAAGTCTTCTTGCATTCAGGATGCTGAAAGAAAATACTTTAGACTGGTGACCTTAAACACCAGAAATGTGTTTCTTAAAATGAAGGTGCTGACAGACCTGGCATCTGGTGAGGATTCTCTTCCCAGGTTGCAGGTGGCCGTCTTTTCACTGTATCTTCATATGGTAGGGAGAGAGCTCCCTGGGGTTACTTTATAAGGGCACTAATCCCATTCGTGATTAGCCCCCCACTCCTGAACAAGTTTCCAAATCTCTTAATTCACTATCTCTTAATACTGTCACCTTCTGGCTTAGAATTTCAGCATATGAATTTTGCAAAGACACAAATATCAGCCCATGCTAGTGCCGGTATCAATCCCACAGGGGTATGGATGACACTCTAAAAGTGTGAATCAGTAAAGATCGGTCTTTACTGCAAAACATTACCTTCCTGTAGTGGGAGGGACCAAACATTACCTTCCTGTAATGGGAAGGACCAAGTACTTCTCTGATCACATTGCTTTATTGTTACACAGTAGGTGAGCACTCTGTTTGCATTCCTTTGTTGAGCTGACTTACTAAAACACTTTAGTTTCTCCATGTACACACACAAATTATTTCCAGAAAAACCTGGCTTCGGTGTGAGGTTATTTATTTATTTGTACTGGGGATTAAACCCAGGGGCACGCTGCTGTGAGCTACATCCCTAGCACTTTTTACTTTTTATTTTGAGACAGAGTCACACTCTGTCCAGGTTGTCTGTGGTCCAAGTTGGTCTCAAATTCATAAACCTTCTGATTCAGTCTTAGTAGCTAGGACTGCAGGCAGGCACTACTGCGTAAAGTTATTAAAACAAATATGTCAAGGAAAAGTTAACTCCGTGCTTCTCAAATTTAAGACCTTTGGGCTTTGAGACCCAAGAACAATGGATTTGATCAGCTCTGTGGTAGAAAAGGGGAACTGCAATGCGAAGAGGCACAGCTGCTTTGATAGAGAAACTTGGAGGTCCTCCAGTGCAGATGAGGCTGGAGTCATTTCAGCAAGTGCCTGTGCCTTTAGAAATGCCAGTCCTTCCAAAGCAGCGGTTCCCAGCCGGGCTTTGGGACACTTGGCAGTGCCGAGGCAGTTTCAGGGTGTCACAGCTGGGTGGAGGGGTGCAAGGGGTGGATAAAGGCCAGGGACACCGCTCAGCAGCTTGCAGTGCCTGGCACGGCCCCCAACACAGAACGACCCGTCCCCACCTGCCAGCAGTGCCCGGTGGAGAAGCCCTGTTCCCACCTGACGATGGCTCCGCCGGGCGTGTGTGATTGTTTCCATCTGACAACACAAGGAACCAGAATTCCCCAGAGCTCTAATTAGCTTGCTAATGCACGGCAAAGCCAGGAATCACACCCAGGTGTCTGGCTTCAACTCTGGCGCTCGCTCCATGATCGTGGAAAGATGATTACACGAACGTTCCAACACCTGGCTTGAGCGTGGCTTGTGGACTCAGGTGGGCACTTTAATGGGGCCAAGCCTCATCTTCCCTGTATTTATCCCCCTGGTCTCTTCCTTCCATTTTCCTGTGCTGTTGAACAATCACAAGCCAGGGCTTGTGTGAAGACTGTCTGTGACAAGGGCTCACAGAGCTGGGCTGCTGTCTCCACGGTGTGTGCCTGATTCTGGGTGGCTGGAGACACCAAGAAGTCTCTGTTCTTCCTGAGCAGATGGCTTCTCCCTGTGAGGGCTGTAGGTGTGGGTGACACGTTCCATCTGAGGACACGGGAATGTGGCCCATTCATAAGTAGGAGGCAGTTTAGGAGGTGGTGTTCGCAGGCCTCAGCAGCCGGACATGGTCTGCAGGACCAGGTGGATGATAGAAGGAGAGAGACATTCCATTCCAGGGTCCTTGAGGCTGCCCAATCCATTTGTAGTAGTACGGCCCGGCCAGCTATTTCCGAGAAGGAAATGGTTCCTCTCGTGTGGGTTAGTTCCCGAGAGGGTAGTGTTTTCAGTCCTTATGTCAGAACAGTTGTGTCTGAAGCAACTGTTGACAAATGAGCCCAGCTCTGAGCTGGGGACACTTTGCTGTGATGGCTGGCACTCTGCAGCCTGGAGCCTGGAGCAGAGAATCAAGTGTGGTTCCTTCAGTGCCAGGATAAAGTTCACCCTCATGGTAACAGTGTCTGCGGAGGCCTGCAGTTCGGTCTCAGATTGTTCTTTCGTCTATACTCAGCATTACTGACTTGGCCGTTTGACTTTCTCCGGCTCTCTCTGGAAGCCATTCTGAACATCCCCACTTCTCTCTCCCTTTCCAAAGACCTCCCCACTTCCACCCTCGTACGCTCTCTGCAGGGCGCCATCAGGCAGGCCTCCCTGCCGTCCCAGCCTCACTGCCCTCTCCTGCCTCTGAACCAGGGGTGCCCTGTTTTTTTCCACTGTGCTTTACTCTATCCTGTGTCCCCAGCTGGACCTCAGTGGCTTTGCTTCACTCTCCTGATTGGGTCACAAGCACGCACGCCTGCAGATGGTCCTGAGAACGCTGGGAGAAGTGCATCCTGGCTCCTGACCCATAGTAGATGCTCAAGAAGGAGAAGTTGTCTGCATTTGTTTTTCCCTTTGGGAAGTGGGTTTTTTTTCTTGCACTGCTTTGAGATGATCATGGCAGACAGCCCTTCAGCAGTTCACGCACATAAGCCAATAGATTAAAGGCCGGACAGGATTTGGGAACCTGAGCTGTGGGCAGGCCAGCACACAGGGAGTCTAGAGGGGGAACTGCTATTTCCAGGAGAAGCGAGACACCGCAGCGAGTCTCTCCCCAGCCCCAGCCCGCTATGCAGCGAGTGATTTCTCATCGTTCCCATTTCCTACCCTGGTACCCTTTCTGCAGGGTAAATTTTGGGTCAAGCTACAGATGAGCACTTTGGGCAGCAGGTCCACTATGGCTACTGCGCACTCAGAACTTTTCAAGGGGCAGTGGCATCCTGGAAAGGCTTAGCGTAGGAGGTAGGTGCTCACCCTCTGACCTTGCAAATGCTGAGCAGCCTTAAGGTAGCAGTGGCTGCGAGTCTAACTATAGCCCAACTCCCACCCGAGAATGAAAGTTTGCACTAGAAGGCTGGGCTCATCCTCCCTGACTCAACCATCCCAGGGTTCTATGGTGGGCCATGGTTTTTTACATCCATTTGTGGGCCATGGTTTTTTACATACATTTGTCAACAGTTGCTTCAGACACAACTGTTATTGGTTTCCAAGATGATTTTGGGCTCTGTCTTAGAAGTTCTCCTAATTTTATTTAAATTCCCCTATAAAGATCTGAATGAAATGGAACTGAGTAGGTCTTTAAATTACTATTTATCAGTTTTGAGGAAAGAAGCTCTATGTATTTAGCGGTTGTTTCTTTACAGGAAAAATTATGTCATGCTCTTATGGCA